TCAGAAAATACACCCAGTCCAACGTGCATCCTCCTCTCTCCTGATGTCCTTCTATATTAAGGCGGTTGCAACTTGTAGACCAAAGCTCGAGAAGGGCTACAGCTCCCATCAGTCCTGGCCAGAGGTGAGGGGACAAACACTTGGAGGGCCGCAGGTGACCCATTCGTGCTGTAACTCTGCGCCACACTTCCCTGGCTTGGTGTTCTTCCCAGTAGCCTCCGTCACCCCAGCCAGTAAGTTTTCCAAACTTAGAAATGTTGACCAATATTCCAGGGGTGGAATTTGTATTCCAGCCGGGAAGGTTTTACCGGAGCGCCAGAACTACCCTACCTGTACAGCAGCAGAAAGCAGCAGCAGAAATGCCAAGTTTCGAATATGAAGCCAAGTGTGAGTCCAGGTCAAGGATGTAAGTCAGTAAGCAAGCAGCTGAGGCATTTTGGATGAGCTGTGTGCAGAATGCCAAAGACTAGAGGATGACACTATCGTATCCACGTCCTGCTTAGGGATTCCCAGCCATCAGCCGGGTGGCCGCTGCATGAACAGCTTGTTGGATTAGGTAGGACTTTGGTCTGATCCAGCCTTACATGCAAAAGCGATGCATAGAGAAATGTATACATCTGTGCATATTGCAAACTGCTGCAAAATGTCATCAACCGGCAAGTCTTTTCCCCAGGTGTTCTTAGCTGCTGTTGCCTTGACTATTCAGGGTGCATTGATGAAACAAAAACCCTTATTTTGCTTAAATATAAGTGATCCTTTAAAAAGAAAAGAAATAATGTTAGAATGCATTTCTGATAATACTTTTCTATTATGCAATTTGCATCTTTACAAAAGATGAAAAGTGCCTCTTTGCATAGTGAAAAGTACCCTTTAGAGTTCACAAACATGTAGGAGAATTCCTTGAAAAATGACTGCCAGCATCTCCAGTTAAAAGGATCGGATAACAGGATCTCTGTGGAAAGTTCCAGAGAACTGCTCGAGAGAGAATGCCCAATGCTGGGCTAAACAAATGGACAAACAGACTGAAATTGGAAGGTACTTTCTTATTAATATTTGTCTCTTTCTGGTAGTTACCCTATGCTTTATGGCTGATCTGATACAGCTTAAAAATCACTCCCACTAACAGCACTTTTATAGAAAGTAAAGCACCTTCTCCCAGGTGAGAAACAAAAGGTGACAGAAATAGGGTCAGAATTCCGAGTGAAATATTTCAGCAATGATCATGTTAGAGACAAAAGGAACTATTGTACTGACCAGTGTCATGAAATCGAAGAGAACAACAAGAGGAAGAACAAGACACCTCTTCTAGAAAAGCCAAGATTTCAAAGGGAAATTCAAACCAACATTAGGACTGCTGGAACCGGAAACATACTATCTGACCAGGAAAAATAAAGAGAAAGCAGAAACTGAACAAAAGAATGATGCAGAAGAAAGTATGACAGGCTCCTTCAGAGACCCTACAAGGAAGAGCCTGTAATAGGAGAAAGCAAAGTGAAAGCTACTACGAAACTTACTTGAAAGGAATAAAGCACCTGGGGTAGATAGGATATCAATAAAACTATTGAGAACTGCAGAGACTGAATTAATCTAAATTCTAGCAAGAATACAGGCAAATATGGAAAACAAAACAATGGCCCAAAGACCAGAAACATCCAATATACATTCCAATCCCTAAGAAAGGAGTTGTAAAGGACAGCAGCAACAGACCATTGCAGTTTTTCCCTGCAAGCAAAGCAATGCTCAAGGCATTGCAACAAAGAATTCTACCCCGCATGGAACAAGAAATGCCTGGTGTTCAATCTGAATTGCAAAAAGGAAGATCATATTACAAATTTGCATTAGCTATAGGAGAACACCAAAGAATGGCAAAAGAGCAGTCTGTGCATTGCAGACAACAGCAAAGTCTTTGATTGTGTAGATCAAGAGAAGCTGCAGATGGTCCTGAAAAAAATAGATGTGCCTCAGCACTTGATCGTCCTGATAGTAACCTGTAATGTGAGCAAGAAGTTATGTTAGGATAGAATATGAAGAGAATGGTTTCCTATAGGCAAAGCTGTCAGACAAGGATGTATTTCATCTTCCTATCTATCTGATCTGTATGCAGAACACATTGTAAGGAAAGCTGGATTAGACTCAGAGGAAGCAGGAGTGAGAACTGGTGGAAGACGTATCAATGATTTAAGATGTTCACATGATACCATATCACTGTCAGAAAGCAGCAATTGATTGATAGGACTCCTGATCAAAGAGAAAGAAGTGCAAGAGGAGCACTGCAGTTGGACAATAAGACAAAAAAATCAGGACTGCAGAAGAATTCTAAAACTTTACTGTCAATGATGAAGAAATGGAAATTGTGAAACATTTTATTTACTTTGGGTCAATCACCAGTTCAAAGGGAGACTGCAGCCAAGAAATTCAAAGACTGAGACTTGGAAGGGCAGCAATGAAGGCACTAGAAAAGATCATTGTGTGGAAGGACACCTCCCTGGAGGCCAAGGCTGAGGTCAGGCACACTATTGTATTCCCAGTCACTATTTCAGGTGAGAAAGCTGGATTGTGAAGAGAGCTGACAGGCAGAAAAATGAATAAACGCAGTGTTGGAAGAGAGCTTGGTGAATGCCCTGGATGGACAGAAAGACGAACAAGTGGATTCTTGATCAAATCAAGCCTGAACTTGCCTCCTTCCCAACCCCAACCCTTTCATCCATCTTCTATGTAGCAATACCCTCCAATGTTTGAGGAAAGAGAACTGGCACGTTTGCTTTACACCAGGGTTGGAGAATGTGTTGTGAGTTCAGCTCCCGTTGTGAGATGGCAGCTCCCGTTGTCCTCACCCTTGGCTATGTAGCAGCATCTGATGGGGCACACGTTCTCCATGGCTGTGTTACAGTAAAAGTGGACATATGAATGTGATCATTGCATTTCTATTTAAATTCCAGTAATTCTATTTCTAAATGTGCATCTGTCTCTCTATTGGTACAACGTATAATACAGAAGTAATAATATTTTTATACAATATGCTATGTGGTCATTCATTTTACACCAATCAGTATCATCTTTCTTTGATGATGCATTACCTGGCGATGGACTAATGGGCACTCTGTCTTGCCCTAGCAGAAACCTGCTGCGAGATTTTTCTATATAACCTGTACTACTTAACTTGATTACAGTGCAAATCTTTTGCTCAGGAGTATGTATGTTCACTAAATTCAATTGGGTTTATTCCCAGAAAAATGTGCCTAAGAATTTGCAGCTTTACTAGCTAAAGGCTGTACAGAAGCCTGAATCAATCAAGAGTCAACTCTGGTCATATGCCAGCAACTCGCTCTGACTTTGCCCCAGAAATCCCCTCCTCCGTTAATTCTGCTCTGCTCTGGAAACGGGAGATGAAGCCATTCTGCGAGAATGATCCGGTTTTCCTCAGCCCTCCAAAAGTATTCCCGCCCCCTCCCCAGCCCTGCTTGCCCTTGCTGGGAGGGTTTCCTTTCGGTCTCTCATCCTGCTGTAATAATGAATCGCTACAGTAATGCGGATGTGATTGACACATTAAATGTCTCCACTTGAGCCAAACAGATTATTGGATGATAGATGTCCACAGGCCCATGTAAACGGTTTGGATTTCCTCCTCTCCAGCCCCTGCGGCTCAGCGTGCTCCGTGCAGCGGGGTCAGGCTGGGTTCGTCTTTCGGCTTCCCCTGCCAATTCTCCAGCCGAGCTTGGCGGATAAATGAGGCTTCTGCAGCTACGCCAGAGCACTTTGGCTGCGGAGCTCCTTGCCGGAGCATATGGCTTTAATGTTTATAAGCTCGTCATTTGGCACACGATATTTCAGCTCCGTGTCCAAACACAACACTTTGACATATAGCTTTATTTATGTAAAGGGACGTTTTCAAAGTCTTTTCCCGTCCCGTTGGCTGCCAGTGACTTAGGCTGGGAAAGGGGGTGGATTTCTCTGCTGCTGATACCGCTGCTGCTCCGGGTCCAGGAAGGGTCTCCATTCATCCTCAGTGGCACCAAGAAAGCTCAGCAGGCTGTGAGGAAGACGGAGATACCGTCTTCGGTTGTATTCACACAGACAGATAATTCTTGGGTGAGCTCCTCAGGAAGGCCTGATGGCCTTTTTCTCCTCCTGGCTTCACAGAGAAGTCAGATAAGGGCATCTCAGAGGTTTGTTCCATTCCGTTTTCTTTGGACAAGGGGGGTGGGGACAGTATCAACACCCCCACAGACCCCAGTCTTCCCAGGGTGTTTCTCAGCATCTAGACCAAAAGTGCAAAATAAAAAAAATGCTTATTTGCCGGCTATACGCTAAGTATGCAGTTACCTATTTCAGCTCAGACAGGTAGGATGAATCCAGCATCTAGTAGCCGTTGGTCATCAACAGCCATTAAGCATGTGAAGCAAGCAAACTATTCAAAGGTCTTGAAATAGGAGGGGATGTCATCTTTTTAATTTTAATTTATCACTTGATGACCCTGCTTGGTCTGTAGCATCCACTAAGGTGTAGACAACAAACACAATTGCTCCACACAGTGGTTGCTGGCCTGCAGAACTGACAGGAAGCAGAGAAAGTGGCGGTGATTGGAAGTCTTAGCAAAATTCCCAGGGTTTCACCTTACACAAGCATCTCACATAAGCCCAAGGAGCAAGTCTGCAGGATCCCTTGAGAGGCACCACTGAAGGACTTAAGGCTTCCAAGGGAAAATCATCAGCACTGCAATGGATACAAGTTCCAGGAATGCTATTTTGCAGAACAGATGAAAAGAGGGACATGCTTGTAACACCCTATTTGCATAAAGCTTAAACACTTCCCAAGACATATTAGTGAAGGTCCTGTCTAACTCAGAAAGGCCGAGGTTCACAGCTCTGGCTTCTCAGCTTCAAAAGATCAGGTGTCACAGTGGGCGGGAGAGACATCTGATGACTGACACCCAAAATAGAGGCTGGCAGTTGGAAGAGACAATACCGGGCTGGGTGATCGTTTCCAACTCACCAAGGGAGGCTGCCTAGGTGGCACCACTGGTTCTGTTCAAGAGATGCTGGAAAAAAGCATGATTCTCCTACCAGTTGCTACCAAAAGTTCTAAATGAGCCCCAGCAGGATGGAAGTCCTGGCACCACTTCATTTCTGACATTCGGGTTGTGGCTGTCGCTGCTTATAAAGCCCGAACAGCACCTGGAAGGCAGTATCAGCAGGTTTCGAGAATCTTCTAAATAAGTAAGTAGCGGTCCTATCCATGTTTAGGCAGCTATATGTCATGCAGCTCTCAGCATCCCCCACCCAGCTTATCGCTGTATCAACATGCACAGGATCATGCCCTGAACAGCTTTCCCTCTCAGGGCAGCCTTATTCGCAGTCCAAGAGTCCACAAGAACAAGAGCAAAACCAGGGCACTTGCCTTGATCATCTTTTAACTGCCAGGGAATTCTGAGTCACGGTATTCGCTGAGATTTCTCCATCACACCCCCATGCCCCAACATAGCTGCAATTCCCAGGCTTCTCCTATGGACTCAGTGTCAGCCTGGCGCATGCCAAGAGAGCTCCAACGTTAGAGTGTTGGACGGAGAGGCTGAGTTCTGCTTTCTAGTGTCCACTCGCAGAGAGATTTTGGGCCAGCCAGTCCCTCCCAGCCTTACTTCACAGGGCTCTGGTGAGGATAAAATGGAGAGAAGGAAGATCTTGTAAGAGTTCCTGGCAAGAGGAAGAAAGTGGGAGATTCTTATTAGTGCTGTTATGACTATCATTATTTCTCTACTAGTATGTTATGCTAATAATAAATACTGCCCTCAAATTGTGTTGGCAACAGTAGTAGTAACATGTGAGGAATAACTGGGGATGACCGCAACTTATTCTAAAAAACAGATCGTTCATGCAGCATGGGGTGAGCAAGGCACGTTCCTGTGGATGGCAGATGCTAGCTGGCCACCCGCAGGGAAACGGGGAGTCCCAGCTCTGACCTCAGACGTGCACTCCGGAGTCAGACTCCGAATGCAGCCTGCCCCACCCCTGCAGCCAGCACAGGTCTCTCCATGCTGGCTGCAGCTCTGCAGTTGCAGGACTGACCTCACAGCTTTCTGGGGAGCGGGGAAAGGAGGAGTGAAGCTGTACCAGGACGTGATGTCTTCTAGCAGCACCCCAGCCTTCCTCCTCACCAGCAGGGGCAGCAGCCATAGCTGACACTAGCCGTCTAAGTCTTCTGCAGAGCAGAAGAAGGACAGGGGTGACTTTCCCTGCCACCCTCCTTCCATCTTCAAGAGGATGCTCTAACCTGAGTTTGGAGGGCCGCGGGCGGTCCCATTGGATTGCACTGACCATGACTAATAATGAGTGCAAAGGAACAGAACTGTCATGCAATTTGCATAAGTCTTTTTGGATGTTGCCGGGTTAAGTTCCTCCTGGTGCCAACAGTTTGATTAATGTTTGACTAGACTTTGGTGCCATCAAGTCTGCCAAAGCAGAGGAGATAAAGGGAGTGGTTAGGAGGCTGAGCAGACAGCCAGAGAGATAAGAAAGTGTAGAGGGGATTTTGTTTACATTATCGTGCCAAAAAATCACCAAGTGGCGAGAGGTAGTGCCAGTTTTGCCCAGTTTTGCCAAGTGCCCCAGCAAAAGGAGCACCAGATAAAGGTGAGCTCTTTTGATTCATCAGTTACAAGGGAACAGGCTTGCTTTAGCATATAAAAAATGGAGGCAAAAGGTGAATTTTGAGAAAATGGCAGGCTGATGTAGAAGGTTGGAAGGAAAGAAGAATAAAACAGAGAAAGGAAATCAGAAATGCCGAATGCTTGGAAAAACTGAGAACTTATTGCTGGGAAGTATACAGAAAATAGGGACACAGTCTAGTCAGGAATAGCAGGCTGTGTTTTCTGGTTATTTTCTGACTCTTCTGTTCTTATGATTTTGTTTGCTTTGTATGTGTTCTAACCAGTCAAATATTAAAATTTTTCCTAACAATAGTAATGGTTTTTCAGTAAATGTTTAAAATTTTGTTGGTTAAACTTCGAGAGCTCTTTTATTTTGTCATTGGGTTTCCCATTCCATGCCTGACAGCCAAACCACACAGCACCTAAAGGGATTTACAAAAGGGAGTTTTTCAGGCAGTTTTGCAGGAGGAAGAAAGGTAAAGAATTCAATCTGATGGCAGTGGAAAGGTCATAGGAAAGGAAGGGCAAACAGAAATGGAGAAGTTAGTTGGTTTGGTCTAACTTCCACACACATATCAGGGCATAATTGGTCCCATGAGAGTCACGATGGCTGTATATCATGGCCAGGTAAAAGACAGATAGGGATCTCCTGGTAAATTATCTCGTGGTGAGTCACAGGAAATCAACAAGATTCCTGCCCTTCCAGCTTCTTGTGGTTCTTCATGCTAACTTTCATGACCAAATAAGTGGTGTCTTTGTGCAGTGTGCCACCCAGATGATGACCCATTGACAGGCAACTTCAAGGCCCATCCTCCCCCTCCTTGTGTTTCTTTTTCTTCAAAGAACTTGGAGCCAACAGCCCTTCAAAGAGAGAGGTCCTCAAATGCACAATTGCCTTCTGGATAACAGTCTGTTCTCTGGATGCCCTTCATGCTAGGGAAAGTCAAACGAGAAAAAGACCAACTATGAGATGGATGGACTCCATCAAGGAAGCCATGGTCTTGAGTTCACAAGAGCTGAGCAGGACTGTCAAAGGCAGGGCATTCTGGAGAGCCTTCATACATAGGGTCACCATAAGTTGAGAGGACTCGAGGGCACATCACGAGATCATCTCATGCTCCTGAACCTGCTTCCAGCGTTGCCCTTGCTCGTGTTGTATGTCTTCCGGCTCCTGCTTCTGCTCCTGTTTTTTCCACCTAACTCCTCCTGGCCAGGAACCTGTTCCTTGTTCTGTCTGACCTCACATTATTTCTGGACCTGCATTGCCTTGCTTGCACTTGGCCTCAGCTTGCCTCTAGAACTTGCCTTTGGTTCTGCCCTGCCTTGTCAGAATCCAGTCCTTGCCAGCTCCTGCCAGCTCCTTGCCTCTGGATCTGCCACACCTTTTTGGTATCTGATCCTTGTCTGCTTCTGCCCATGCCATGTTCTGGACCCTCACCTGTTCCAGATTCTGCCATTACTTCTGTGCCTGCCATGCCTTGTTGCTATTTTATCTTGCCTGCTCTTGACTCTGCGATGCCTTTGAGTCTGCCATGCCTTCCTGGGCATGGACCTTTGCTGGTTCTTAACTTTGCCTTTGCCTCTGGTCCTCCTGCCTCATCACCAAGCTCCCCATCCTCCCTGGTCCTGCTATCCCACCCATAGACACCAGCTCCCTGCATCCTGGACCTGACGATACAACTAGACCACAAAAATCTATGTCCATGAATATTCCACCAGAACTTCCTTCTCAAAGCAATTAATTGTAAAAGCATGACGGGCTCCTCTATGCGTCCTAATCCATGCTGTACACCACAATGTCAAAGCAGACAATAGAGGCTAAAAATATATCCCCATGACAGGAATTTGCCAGTGATGTTTTTCAGCTTGGTTGACAGAGAGGTTATATATAGTCATGAGGAAGAGGCTAAATATGGTTTGCTGGTTCTGTGTATGTGGAAGAGATCTTATTTTTATGTCTATAGCACTGGGTGACTTGTGTTTATTCTTTAATACTTGCTGCCATGTGCCTTTGGGGGAAAATTTCAGACAGCAATTGCATTAGTTACCATAATATTTCACTTAGCTGGAACACTATGCATAGAACACCTTCCTTTTACCAATAAATAAGTCTGGAATGACCGAAAGATGAACAAGTGGATCCTAGATCACGTCAAGCCAGAGCTTTCCCTAGCCGCAGAAATGACAAAACTGAGGTTGTCATTCTTTTGACACATCATAAGAAGGCAAGACTCCTGGAGAAGACAGTTATGCTAGGGAAAGTTGATGGCAGAAGAAGACGAGGAAGACCAGATATGAGTTGGATGGACTCCATCGAGGAAGCCATAGTCTTGAGCTAATCAGGGTTCCTGTGGATGGGATGGTGGAGGGCTTCCATCCATAGGGCCGCTATAAGTCAGAGAAAAGTTGACAGCACATAACGACAAAAGTACAATACCACCATTCCACCCCGTATATCCAGACTTAAGTAACATGTAAAGCCTCCAAGAGGTGGTTCTGTGACCCTGAAAGACAGAACTATGTCAGAGCCTGTTTACATTCTGGTAAATGTGTATTTGTTTTCCATTTTGGGGCTCCGTTTTGCCTACTTTGTGCTCAAACACCTTTTATCTGCAGAATAAAGCTGTTTCCACCTCACACCCTGGAATGCATGATTGGCTACTGCGCACCGTAGGACTGAATCCCACTTTTGTGGACAACAATGGAGAAAAAGCCAAAATGCTCATTTCTACTGTGGCTCAGCCTTTCCCCGAAAGTGGCCCTATGACCCGCTCTTGCCCCCTGGGCAGAAATGAAATGCAAACTGAAGGGTCAGATTGAAGTTTAAGATTGATGAACAAATGGTCAAAGAACACCCAATTTCACCGAATGGGTTCAGATCTCCTCAGACTGATGAACTGCATCTTAGAGAAATAAAGGAGCTGACAGAAGAAATCTCAGAACCACTGTCTTTGAGAAATCACGGAGGTCAGGTGAAGTGCCAGATGATTGGAAAAGGGCTAATGTTGTCCCTCTTCAAACAAAGTGCAAAAAGAAGAATCCTGGGAAATGCAGACCAGTTAGTCTGATATCAATCCCTGGAAAAATTCTGCAGAAGATAATATAGAAGACAGTCTCCATTGTAGCCAATGGAGTGATTGCTGGAGGCCAGCATGGATTTATCAAAACCAAGTCTTGCCAATCTAATTGGATATCATTTTTTGTTTGGGTAACTTGTGGACTCTGGGAATGCTATGAATATCATATATCTTGAGTTGAGCAAGCTTTTGACAAAGTCTCCCAGGACATTCTGATCAGAAAACCAGCTAAAAGTGGGCTAGGTGGAACAGCTGTCAGGTGGATCCATAGCTGGCTACCGAATTGGACTCCGGGAATGCTTCTCAATAGCACCTTCTCAAACTGAGGAGAGGTCATGAGTGGGCACTGCAGGGTTCAGTCCTCTACTCTTTTGATTAATGACTTGGATTAAGAGAGGTTTGCCTGGCACAGAGCTTATACTTTTTTCGGCACCAGGTCAAAACCTTTTGATTTAACCAGTATTTTAAAAACTAATATGAATGTAATAGTCATGTT